CCCCTCTCTAACAAGGTTGATCCAGTGAGATGTGGCGCCTGACATCTACTCAGTTATTAAATTTTCACACACTGCTGACCGCAATATCATCAGGAGCAAACACTCGCTGCTGTGTACCCTCAGGCGCATGGGCCTGTTTACTTGTGTATTTAGCGCTGGTGAGTGCATGATTCTGTGTTGTGAGATAATTTCAGAAGTCCAGTGATCTGACTCTGGTCCTGAGAAAGATGCAGTTGGACAGGAGTGAAAAATAGCATGGCAAAGGCCGCAGTGTGCAATTAGCAGCCGTCACAAGAATCTCCCTGTCTCTTATTTGCTGTCTGCTGCACATCAAATATGCCCCTGACTCACTCTGTATAATATTGGAGAATACGCAAATGGATGACTCAGCGGATTTTGTGAGGCCGCGGCTTGCCCTCATAAGAATATAAACTCAGTTTTTATCGCTTCAGAATAAGAATAAGTGTCGGAAATATGCTTCCATCACCGAGGAATAAGAAAACGGACATTCGGTCTGACTATATCTCCTTGAAAAGAAAGTTTTGAGTCCGAGTTAAATAGTTTTGACCCTTATAAATATCCTGGTTTAATAATCTGTTTCCACATATGAAGTTTTTCTCCTACTCAAGCACTCCCAGCTTCCTCTGGGCATCAGCACATCTTCTCTTTAAGTTTTATTTTCCACCAAAGTTTTTCACAACTTTTTTCTGTGAATAACTCGGCAGACCGCAACCAAAAATAAATGTGTTAAAATTACAGTTCTTGTATCTAAATGTGCTGAGGTTACCAGTGATTTGAACCAAGAGCGCCGAGGAGATTGTACATGCAATGAGCTGCTGTATTTCTTCAGCTTTCTTGCCAGATGGTGTTAAAGATCTTCCAGTAATGCGCAGCAGGAGCCTGTTGTGCTACTTTAAACAAAAAACTTTATGGTCATGCTGCTGTTTTAAAAGAATGGTTTTACACATTAATTATCGGTTTTGGGGGAGGGGGGGTTCTCAGTTTACCCATCAGATTAAGACTCAATTTTAATCTTGCTTGGTGAAAATAATGAGCTCCTGAACTGCAGCTCCATCAATAAATTAGAGTCTTCTTGCACAGTGGGCCTTGGTGTTAGTTGTAACTGATGAGTATACTGAGAAGCTCTATATCTTGATCCTTGGTTTTATTCCATCCATTCACTAGTTTAGAGAAACGGCATGATTGACATCAATTAAAATAGCATAGAATAAAGAGTTTCTGAAAACGAGATACCAGGTTGCTGCTGATTAGACTTGTGAGGTTGTAAAGTGCCGAAGCATGTGCCGTCTTCAAGGGCAAAAAGCAAATTCTTAAACCATTTCTTCTGTCTGCCCACCGCTTCTGTGAAGCTCTGCTGGGAGAAATATGGCGAGCCTGAAAAGGAGGTGGCCTTGCTGGCCACCTCCTTTTCATGCATAAGCAAGCTGTCTTTTGAATGCCTTGGTGCACTTAGGTATTCTGTGGAAAGGGGTGAAGAGCTGTCCTTGAGAGCACATACACAAAAGAGACAATGAGCGAGAGGTCACCAATAGCCTGGACAACACGAAGCCAGAGAGTACAGTGTATGCAGAACATACCATGAATTTTCTTCTTTTTTCTCCATTATTATTTATTATTTTTAACAGTAAATGCATTGTAAAGCGAGACCGATTAAGATATTAATGCATTGTGCTCATCTTATGCTTCATCTTGTCTCGATTTAATTTTCCCATTCTCTTTTTTCTCCCCATTAATTTCTTCATATTGGTTGACAGTTTGCTCTGTGATTGATTTCATCATCTGAGCAATCACTCATGGAAAAAGGAAAATACAGGTGAGCGGGGTATTAATTAGACCTTGCAGAAACAGGAATACTTCTGAGAAAACACTGTGCAAAATCCTGATTTTTTTCCCCTTGTGATCACACTGGATTATCTAGTTTATCTTCACCCCGATTCTAACTCTAGTATTCTTAATATTCTGAATTATGTGTGTGCAGCTGCTTAAAAAACTCTACATCGTGAACTTGCATCACCTTGTGAAATGTGAGTGACTGGTTATAATTGACCCCCATATTCCTTTATTTAGCATTACATATTGATTGCTGCCTACAGGAACATAACTCAGTGGGAGGTTGGCAGAATTGCCACAATGCAGTAGATAGCAGCAAGTGAGAGAGAGAGAGAGAGAGAGAAGCACTCACATGGTGGCTTGAGAGACCAATTATGTTGTGTGTGTCACTTAAGAGTGTTTTGAGGGCTGAGAGCAGTGGTATGTGTTTGGAGCCTGAGGGTACAATCTCATTTTACATTCAGCTCTTTTTGTAGCTCCCCATGATTTCATGGAGCTTTCCAAAGTTTTGAAATCAAATGACATGCACAAAAATAAAATAAAAATAAAATAAAAGTGTCTTGGCATATTTTCTTCCACCGCTGACACATGATATTTGTCGTTGCTCTGTTTGATTTGTTGGAAGTTCAGATATCACGGAATGTAAAAGAACCTCAGCTGTCATCATAAAACAGAAAAAAAGGAGGTAAAAAAACAGTAGGCTATAAGAGAATAAAATCAAAATAGCAAGAAAGCGCAGGAATCTATAAATACATGCACATCGTGTTAACGCGTGTTGATTTAATGTCTCCAAGGTTATGAAACTTCTCTCAGACTGAGAGAAAATCAGCTGACAGTGAGAGACATCTAGTGGTAATTTAGGGAACTTCCGCATTGATGCATTATTTCTTTTAGGGGTTTTTTTTAGTTACCTTCTAGTGTTAGAGTTACAAGAGCTGTTTTTCTTGGTACTTTGGGGAATATAAATGTAGAGCGGAGCAAAAAAAATGCAGCTGGCAGTTACTTGCTTAAGGCATCAAGTGTCACTAGAGCTGCTTCTGCAACACGAATGTCAAAGTGTCAGAGATTGTTCTTTGTTTTGTTTTGTTCGTCTTCAGGTTATCACATTGCTTATGCCTATTATAAACTGTAACACTAAAAGCAAACTTGCGAATGAGCAAATCTCCACGCAATAGATTCACGTTGAAGCAGGTGTAATTTTGAATCCAACTACTATGAGCTGATGAATTTGGTTTCCACTTACATTAGCGCTCCATTCGGTTCAATATTTCACTAATCCCAAACCCAAACATCTAATTTCCTTGTTCTGCTTTGTTTTTGGACTCTTCATGTTCTTAAAAAAAGACAGAGAGAGAAAAGTGTATGCTATGTTCCGCATTATGGAACAGTTGCCTCCAGGGAGCGCCCGTCTTCAGGTATTTATTCTATTGTCCACCTTTCTTCTACACTAAGTGTCAAGTTAAACATATACAGATCAATTATGGAAGAAATCCTTAAAAGATAAAAGCGTTATTAGAGGGTTAATATTGAAGTTGAAGCGGAAATGAATCGATAAGACCCCCAGACAGTTAAAATCATCAATGCTATTGCGTGGCTTTCAATTAAATTTAACTTTTCACATCTACAGCACCAGTTTTCACGCTAGTCTAAAAAAAATCCTGCAGTGGATATTTCGCGCAGCCACTTTTATTTTGAAATCAAGTCCAAGCGGAAGTTGTATTCTCGTTTGCTTAACTTCTATCTACCTCCACAGGTTCCCCTCCCCTTTTTTGAACTAACCACCTACAATAAGTTTGACAGCTCAGCTTTTTTCCCCCCCTGAGTGTGTGCTCACACGAAGAGTGGCAGCAGCAACAGATAGCTCGAGTCTCCACCACAGGAGTTACTTTTCCCTTTTTTGTTGCTGAGCGTGCGTCCCTACGTCTCCTGCTGGCTATGAGGAATTTTATGTCTGCGTAGGTTTGGTCACCGCTCCCACTTGGACCTGTTTTTTGGGGAGGGGGGGTTTGGCATCGGTGTAGTTTGTTTTTCCTACAAACAAGTCAATTCATAATTAAAAATATAATATTTTCTTTGTCGGGCGTCGCGAGGGAACTACATTAAACATGTCGAGGAACGCGGAGGAGGTGAACAAGCTCGCTGAAAGTACATACAAGGTAAGCGCTGCTTTCCTATGAAGGTGGGAAACCCAACAGGTGCGAGAGGGAAGAAGCGCCTCCTTAAACTCGGGTTCAAGTTTACTGGTTGACTTTCACCAACCTTTTGTAACAGGTGTTATTCATGGACCTCATGAGGGGTTTTTTTGTTCTTTTAGCAGTAAAGTTTACTTGTGTGGACATTCGCCTTTAAGTAGTTTGCCTTCTTTTTGAAAACACAGCAGAATATATAGGGTGATATATGTTTAGCTTATGGGCACTATCACAAGTAAGTGACAGTGTTACAGCAGAAAAAAAAGACTATTATCACACTTGATTATCCTACCCTGGGGTCTTGCTCTTTCAGGATCCCTAAGCTTTAAGTGTGTTCTTGGTTTACTCAGCATCTCAGCCTGCACTGTTAATGAGTTCAGTGCATTTTTGGCAGCACTTTAAATTTTAGTTTAGAAGCTTCCCGAGAGCTTGTAACTGCCTATTAGTGAGTTGAATCACTGGTTTTGAGAGAATAGCCCCACCCTGGGAGTGGCATTTCCTTTTCCCATTAAATTGCTGCCGTGGTTGATCAGCATCATTTGGGCTGTTTTGTAGTTCCGTGCCAACCAGTAGCCTAATTGACTTTAATTTATTTACTGAAGTGGGAGCTTTTCAAGTGAATTGGTATTTACCACTCCTCCTTATCTTGGATTGTGGGGAAACTGCTCCCTTTAAAGCGATTTTAATAAGTAATCAGCTGGATTTTTTGTTGAGTCTATGATTTAATTGGGTTTCAAAGAGAAGCCTAACCACTGAAAATGAAACGAAACTGAACGCGAGTGGCACTCACCAAATCCCACCAGGCTTTCTGACTTAATGGTCCTCTGCAGTGTGCACGCCACAGGTGGCAGAGTAAAGGTGACTGTGTTCAAAGCAGGAGGATGAAAAGAAGGCAAGAAGCTTTCTCTCATGCATTTAGCCTTTTTAAACAGTTCTTATCCACCGGCCTCCTCCAGGGGCTGCCCCCACAGCTCATTGGAGTGGTGAAATGCAGGAAAAAGACTCCAGGTTTAATAATTTAACTGGCTGTGTGTTTTGTGTGGTAAGATTATACAGCAAGCTCCTTGGCAGCCATCACCTCAGGCTCATTGATAATAAGCAAGACAGGCTCCCAAAATAGTCTGTTCAAATACTTGGTGGCAAGTTGTGTTTGTTTTTTGTTGAAAATGAACACAATTTGGCTGTTTACATGTTTCATGGACTTTTAAAATGCAGTGTGATTTTCAGCAATGGAAGAACAAGTTCTTCTCTTACAGCATTATTAGATGCTGTAAATTAAACTAAAGGTTACTGAGTCATTTCTTATGAATGCCTGTATCAGCAGGGAGCTGTTACTTACACATTATGTCAGTATGCTGCTGACAAACGTCTGACGTACAAGTGGCTGAACAATGCAAGACTCATGAAACATTGTTTGCCATGGGTGTCCTAAGGAGGTTTTGCTTGTGTGTGCGTGTTAGCCAAGACCTGTCCTATTCTATACTAATCAGAGGGTTGGACTTGACATCTGTAAAATGGAGCTCAGAAAATTAGTAAAATTTTTTCCAAGACATAATTGGCTCCACTCCACGATGCTGATTAAAGGATGGCAATCACTAGAGACCCCACTTTTATCAGATTAGATTAGATTATTTCTTTGTTGTTTTTGTGCTTCCTGTCTTAAGTTTCCACAGAAGCAATTTTTGGCCTCTGTGACATAATTTGTAGACATTATCTGTAGGCAAACGAATGTGTGCCTGAAGGACATGGTTATAGCTTCCTTTAAACTGTTGTCAGGCTCTAGTGTGACTGCATACATTTCATTCTTTGCCTCGTCATTTACGTCTAATGTCACTCTGTCAGTTTGACAGTCACAGTGAATCGTTTTTCTCTCTCAACCCCTTTAGACCGTAATGGAACAGTTCAACCCAGGACTGAGGAACCTGGTCAACCTGGGCAAGAACTATGAAAAATCAGTAGCAGGTGAGCTTTTTTTCCCCCTTTGTTTTTGCTATTACATTAAAAAAAAAGTTTCAGAGTTTATATATTAAGTTAGAGTTGGCTAAGAAATGAAAAATGGCTAACTGGAAGGACAAGTTAGCCATTTTGGAGGAAGGATCGGACAGGTTGGATTATAATGTGGATATTTGTTACTCTGTGGTGTTCAGAGGGTATTAGGGGCTATTCTGACAAAAATTAATGACAATTTTATCATTTTCCCAGCAATGACCCTGGCAGGAAAGTTGTATTTTGATGCACTGACTAAGATTGGGGAGAATGCTGCAGTTTCTCCTGTCTCCAGAGAATTAGGTAAGTTTCCAAGTTGATCTGTCCTGTGATTCTCCACTGGGATAAACTGGGGGAAATCTGCAGACTGTGGAGGCAGCTCCCTTTTTCTCAAAACAACTTTCTTCTTTCTAATTTATTCAGTTGTATTTTATTCCCAAGGCAGTCTTTTCATTTCTAATAATAGTTTAAGGATGATTTACTGATCCTCAGCCAGAGCAGATAGATTGTTGTTTAATTAAAGTTGATGGAAAACCTCAGTTGAATGACATTTTATTTCTGCAGCAGTCAATGTCATTTGGTATGTGTTGCACACAGATTTGCGGGTGCAATAGGAAAGTGGCCTCTCTGAGTATACAGGGTAGATGCAGGTTTGGGTGAAAGAGCAGGAAGTGTTGTAGGTCTGGGGAAAAGATGGGAAATTCTCCAGCTTAACAAGACAAAGCTGAATTGAGAGGGTGTGTTGGGTATATGACGTGAGGAGAGTGAGACATGTTACACGTGAATAATGCAGTGCATCTCGAGTTGACTTCCTAAAGTAGCTCACAAGCTTCACTCCATTGCATTTGTTATGTCTGTAGATTTATTCACAAAATGATCGGATGTTTATCACCGGCTTCATTCTAAATATGTGTGTAAACATGGGATAATTGTGAGGAACACAGGAGCTGAATTCATTCAGTGCCAGTTGCCGTTTTAGAAATATTAGGTTTGAAGTTTTAACAAAGTGAATTTAAAAGTCTTAAATTAAAATTTCCTGACCTTGCTGATCGGGAGCATATTTTCAATTTAGCAGGATTTGCCAGTTCTAAAGTGCATCTGACATCAGTTTGAGAAATGTGAGAAATGGATCATTAATTTATTCACAAGTCAATGAGATGAGTAATCACAAGCTAAAGCAAGTTAATATGTATGCCCCTCAGTCGCTGGTCTAAATCCTTCTCAGCCCCATCTCATAAGACAATGAAGCACAGCCTTGCCTCTACACCTGCAAAGCCTAATAAGAAATCAGAGGTTTGCAAAAGATATCCACAAGACACTTTGTGCAATATAACTAAAATTAATTTAGAAAAAAATAAATGAAAGGAACAACAGCTATTCCCTGGTTTATTGTTTCATGATGAAAGAGAGCAGGGTAATGTTTGAACCTCTCTTTATCACTAAGAAACTAAACCCAGGCAGCGCTCTAGCTCGAACACATCAGAAGTTACCCACTGATTAATTCCAGCACCGTTCTTGTGATTTTTATGTATTTGAGTGTGATAGACTTGGGAATACTCTGTTTGTTCATCGTCCTATGTTCATTCTTCTCTAACTCCCCAGGCTTCAGTTCCCCTGAGCTAATTTGTAGTCCAAAGAAGTCTGGCATCCTAAGTCCTTGTCACTAGTGTCACACTTTGATTTAACCACTGTACGCCTCTCATCTCCCCTGCTGATTAGTAGCAAAACTGCTAATTAAATTTAGCAGCACAATGGGAAGTGCCACCTGGTGTCAGTTTCCTGGCACAGTTAAAGTGATACTCCACCCAAAAAAAAAAGAAACACCCTGTGCACACTTGGCAAGTGGCTAGAAAAGTAAGCCTTTGAATCCTCAATAGCCTCCTTGAATTCACAGTGGCACATTTTTACGATAAAATATTGTGACAAGAGGTCCTTCTGAAGTTTGCATCCTTAAGGCTGGTTTAGAATTACAAAAATACAATATTGATATAAAACATTTTGGTTGCTTCATCTATAACGATGAACCTGTCAACATACGATAGATTCTACTGTGTACAGACTGAGCATGTGTATACTGCAATTTAAGACCATCTGTGATCTCGCCACATTGTACACATGCATTTTCTTGCAACCATAATCAGCTGGTAGGATCCCAGCTATGATTGGCCAATTAATCAGTCAAAAACTGTTGTAATAAACTCAGTTTTCAAGATTAAATACTCAAATCAATAGTTTTAATGTTCTCAAATTACCCATTTTATTTCTCATTTTGATGTTTCGGGCCTATAGACGAGTGATTAAACGATTCATTAAAAAAAACAATCCTCCCTTTAATTCAAAGTAACATACCCACTAATCTCCTCATGTGTGGCATAGTGTGATCTCATGACGGATCAGTTTATTCTGAGTCATTATGCTGGATTATGTAGAGCAGTGGGTGTTCATCTAGTTTAATGAACCAGGCTTGGAGACCCAAATGCATTGTACTTGGAGTCTGTGCTGCACACCTCTATAAATAGTCAGGATCTTCAATTTGTGTCGTGAGTTGCTGTCAGGTTCGTAAGACATTGTTTTAAGTTGTAATAATTACGGAGACATCTTCTACAAGAAATGTGGCGTTAAAGTCTACACATCTTCATCACGAGGCTGCTCATGCTTGTAGTGAAGCTGCTCTGTAAGAAACATGAGCTCCAGTGACAGATAACCAGAAACCAGATACTCTCGCGAGGCATTAGAGCACCGGTGCACCTCGTTCTCTCGCCCCTTTCCTTTATCTCTCCCTCCACTTCTGCCAGAGTTCAAATGTCAACCTTTTTTTTTTTTCTTTTTTCTCATTCGAACGCTCAGGTTTCTGACGTTTGGTCAAACAAAGAGCAGAAATTAACATGTACAGACCAGGTTGTTCGGATGCAATAGGATTAGAACGTGCTTAGAATTTGCTCTTTACATCTTCTTGTTGTACTTCTAGTCTTGATGCTAGAAACAGAAATGCACAGGGAACAGTGAAAAGAACCGTAAAACTGCTGCCTAAAAATTGGAACAGCAAACAGCCTGTAAGATAGCTTGACTATGGCACATTTCATTGTCCCCAAAGAATTTAATCTCATCCTATCTTGTCCTTTTGCAGCAAAAAGGGTATTTATAGATGTTTCGTGGACACAGACACACAGTGACTAGTGTTCAAATGGCACCAGGCCCACTTTACATAATCCAAGCATGTTTGCATGCTGTGTCAGGTGGCTCTCATAGATGCCAGGATTATTTTGTCCACAGTCAAAAATGGTGGAAGAACTGTGGGTCTTTTTTTTTTTTTTTTTTTGCAGGCTTCTGGGAAAATCCAATAAAGTGCTCAGTCTTCACAGAGCCTCTCTACAAACACAGACATTGCCTATCTGTCTCAACATATGCAATTACGAAAGACAAAGAACATAGTTCACTGTCATGTGGGACATAAAACAATTGTATCTCATCAGAGACAAAAAGGGATTTATTTAAATCGATGGTAGTTGGGTTGGCTGGGTTTATCTCTGTGGTTTTGGTTGGGTAATAATGGCACATTGCTTTTAGAGTTATCCTCATAATGATACACTATTGCCCTCACACCTTGCTCAAAAGAGTGCACCTGTTGCCGAGCAACGTTTTGTGTGGTCTGTGCAACAATAAACAAATGAGTGAGAACTGCTGGAAAGAAACTGTGATGCAATCTTTATGCAGTTATTAATATAAAACATTTACGTGTCATCATTTTCTGAATTTTCTTTTGAGGTATGTTTATGACTCGACTTATACGCCTTACATATAAACCAGTCTGTCTGGTGTTTGACTCAATACCACACCTGTTGACATTTTTAAGATTATTCATACTGTAAAATGAGGGGACTTTAAGGTTGGGCCAGTCTTGGGCCCTGTTTTATTTTAAATCTAGCATAGCCTTCCTAAACTCTTTTTCTTTCTTTTACTGTGTATTGCCATGTCCAGCACTACTACATCATTTCTTCTCTTATACTTATTGTAGTACCTTTTTCTGCATCACTATTCATCTCCTTACCATATTTTCCTCCCACCCTTACCCTGCCTGCGCTACCCCTACAGCCTCTTTTATTCTGCTCTGTCAAAGGGCAGATTTACTGGGATGAGCAGAGTCTTTATCTGCCGAGCTGTTTGAACTGCAGCAGCCAGTCTCACTGTGAGGCAAGGTGGAGCAGGCAAGGTGTGGAAAGATGGAGCAGGGAAGGGCAGTGTTTACATACTGATGAATGTACAGGTCAGAGTGTCTGCAGGCATATTGAAAGGCTGTCAAGGATTTGCGCAGTGCATTTTTGCATGTCAGAACACAGTTGAAAGACGACAGCAATTTTTTATTTTTTAAACCTTGGTGTGCAGGCTGTTTTTCCTATTTATCCATGTGCTCCAGTATGGGTCTACTGCTGTGTAAACCAAACAAATAACAAATCTAGATGAGGACTTGATGGGTAAAGTATTTATTCTATGATGATTTAGCTTGTCTGTTTACAAACTGGAGGTGTTTGTATCCTGAAGCAGAAGCCACTGAATCTCTACAGTGGCTTCTGGTTACATCATTATCAATACTTATATGTACAGTACAGCTGTATTTGTTGGCTGCAGCTGCATGGGAATCAGCACCCATGGGAAAATGCTCAGTGTGGGAGAAGATGCAGCGTGCATTTGTTTGAACGTCTTGTAATCTTGTGTTGGCAAATCCACTGATGTATCCCACATCTATGCTACAAACAGAAAATATACCCGACATATGCTGAGCATTATCTTGAATTTAAATTGCTGTTGGATGTAAACTAAGGATGTCTTACGAATAACTTGTGTTCATGAGACTGCGCACAGATGATTCATTTTCTAAACAAATTAGTTTATCTGTTTTGACATTATTGCACAAAGAAGATGACAAAGAATGCTGGCTAAACAACCAGAGTGACGATCTGTGTAAACACAAGTTATTAATTGGCCCAAGACAAATTTATACACACACACATTATTATTCTGTGTCTACCCATCATCTAAGAGGTGTTGAAATGGTGATTATCAAAGGACTGCACCAGCCAAACACGCACACCCATGCAGATTTCAGTCTGTGAGCAGTATTATCCAGAAGGCAGTATGTTACAAAAGCCTTGTTTTGCATGTGAACTCTTGACAGTGTCAGAAGAATGAAGTGCAGAAATTATCTTCAGTTGTCCTTTTTTCTCACATCTTGCACAGCAGAAAAAAGCCTGCGTGAGATACTCCGTTTGAGTTAGATGAGCTGGGACCTGCCTGGGTAGACCAGTCTCATGGGCACAAAATAGGCACAGACTCTGTTTCAGTGAGCTGGCAGGTTAAAGACCACGTGCACCTAAATCAATAATATCTAGAAAAGTCACACCTCAGTGCTTGTGTGTAAACGGCAAACCAGACTCAAGACAGTTTGTAGCCTTTCTTGTTAGTAGAGTTACTGCTATTAGTTTTGCATAATGCTTGGCTTTGGGTACTAAGCAGTACTATTTGAATGCAAAGAAGTTGAAGGGAAATCAGTCTTCAGTGGAGCTGCCAATACTTTGCTTATTTGTTACTTGAAACCACCTATTTACTTTTAAAAGTAATTTAAAAAAGTAAGGAATAACACCTAAAAATTTCAAACTTGTCTAATAGAAGAAGAGGTAATACAATTTTTATCTCTGGGATGTGGGGACTTAAAATGAAACTGCTGTACTTTGGCTTGGCGCTACAAGCATGTAGTTATTATGCTCTGTATTGTGCTCTGTAATCCTAATTTGATTGTTTTTAGGAAAAACAGGTTATGATTTGTGGCAGCCTGCCATCTGAGCTCTTTTTGATTTTCTGAGCAGCAAGTGGTCCCGTTTGGTCCAGGCTCCATATAGAGTTTGCTTTCATGCCAGTGAAGGAAATCCTACATCACATCTGTAGCTGGTTACTTTTTTGGTTAAAAAAATATTGCAGATACTGTCAGGCTTATAGGCTATAGTCTGTGCTGTGCATTATGGCTATCATTTTACACTTTAGTGAAATATCTTCAGATAATGATTTTCTGTACAGTCGAGACAAAACTTTCCATCTTATAACATTAACATGTGTGCCATCTTTCCCCCTCCTGTTTTTGCACCTGGCAGGTGTAGTACTGACAGAAATCTCAGAGGTCCACAGGAACGTTCATCTTGAGCTGGAGGAAAACGTGAGTCTTGAATATGTTTTTGCAAATGTATACATGTTTTGTTTTACGTTATCGAATGAATCTTTAATTGTATTGCCTCTCCCAAACGCATGCTTGTCTCACTCTCTGAACCTGTTTCTCAGACCGAGGTGGAATTCACTAACTGGCATTTAGTGGTGTGCTGTCAGCAAACGGTTCTTTTCATCCTTCTGTTGCTGTTGATAGACACCACCTTATCTTCCTACCCACCTACAACAACTGAAGTAGCATCATGAGCAAGAAAAACATGAAACATTAGATACAGAAGGAAAACAAATGGCTTTGGGTTGTAGGAGCAGCTGGGGCTTTATCTCGTTGCTGAGAACAAGCAGGTCCTAACATGTCCTGTCCTGTACCAGCTGGGGCAGTTACAGTTTGATTAATTAAGTATGAGCATTGTGTACGCTCTTAGCACACTAACACCATGAAACGGTTGCACAGACTACTTTATTAATCTTTTGTTCAGTTTTGAAGAACATGTTGTAAATGTTTAATTATGTAAAGGTTGCAAAATTTCAGTTTACTTTTTGTTTAGGTAGCATGGAAAAAGACGCCGTCGCTTTGCTGGAACTTGCAAATATCGGATATTTTAAGTGAAAAAAAATTAGCAGAATTTTATGTATCATATTTCACTACAACACAAGCATTCTTAAAATTTAGATGTTTAAAATCTTTTAAAAAGATCACAACATGTTGGGCACATTATTTTTATTGAATGTTGCACAAGTTTTGTGCAAATAAATAATGCTAGTGCCTGAAAGTAAACCAGAAAACATGAACATGATGCAGAAAAGTTGGGAGGCACTCTTCTGAGACATTGTTGCAAACGGCATCAGTGGGTGGGCTCAGTTGTTAATGGACTCGAGTTTATGACTCACAGCATTAATTCAGGTCAGAGAGTCAGAGTCTGATGACTATGTGTTATGTATACTACAGTCCCTGTGGTCATCTATATGTTTTCAGTGAGGGGGTCTTCCACATCATTGATCTGCTGCGTGTGGGTGCAGACACTGCATCACAACAAGGGGAGCGCGTTGACTCCCTCACACTAATGAGAGGGAGAGAGCTGGAGAGCATCTGAGAGAAGACTGTGGGCATTCCCACGCTTTGTTTCTGACTCATTCATAAGCGCAACCTTGGACTTGGTTCTCGCCCCCGCACCGATACACTTTAAATGATCATTCTCCATTTTTCTCCATGAGACTTGCAGCATTTTTCCTTGTTTTCTGCTGACAGCAAAGCTTGACAAACTGTAGCCCTCCATCCACCCATCAACTTTATAATAACCAGTGTGTCTTCCTATCCTCTCTTCTCTCTTGTCCTTCCTCCTCCTCTTCACCTGAAGTTCAAGAGGTTCCACAGAGACATAATAGCTGAGCTGGAGAGAAAGACTGACATGGATGTCAAATACATGACAGTGAGTAGTTTTTTCTGTGTTCGCGCACAACTAAGTTTGGGTTTGTTTTTGTTATCACTGGCTTTTGTGCTACATTTTACATTTTTATTCAGCAATTACATGAAGTGAGGGAGAAGCAAAAATAAAATGGAATAAAAGCCTTTGAATTGGTTTTTACTACAGGATCAGCAGGTAAAGAGGACGTAGATGATGGTTTTTAAACCGTGTTGAGTTGAAAAATATGAAAAGCAATCCTTTTTATGCACTTGATGAACTATAATCTCGTTCTGTGCAATAATGCTGGAATTTTTTTGTGACTCGTTGAATTGGGCATATGTCCTGATGTACTGAAAGAGTTATTATCAGCACAACACAGGACAAAGAAGGGCCTATTTTCTGCAGTACAGCAAGTCTGTGCTCTTTCAGAGTGATGTTTGGTACTCTGAGTCTTTAAATGGCTCTACATGACTGTGCAGAGGTAGCTGTAAGCACACTTTGCGTTTTATTTATAATAAAACAAAGTTATTTCTCTCTGATGTTCACTTTGCTGTAGTGCCATATAGCAGATGGATCCAGCCTAACACATCATCACAGACGTTTTAGCAAACGGTTTACATTGCAAATCAGCTTGCGTAGTTTACTGCATAGTGTGAAACATGACTATGTATTGGAAGATTTTTTTTTTTATATATCCAGGATATACTGCAAACTTGACTGTGGATATATTTTGGCAGCCACCATTTTTAAATTTCAAATGATTCATCCAGTTATTCTTAAAGTTCACAGTTTCTCCTTATTTCTGCTACCCAAGATGGTTCTGACAAATCTCATCAGGTTGGTGTTGCAGCATTTACATGAATCATTCTTCTGATCCAGGCCACATTTAAAAGATACCAGATGGAGCACAAGATGAAGCAAGATTCTCTGGAGAAGTCCCAGGCAGACCTGAAGAAGCTGAGGAGAAAGAGCCAAGGCAAGAATGCGAACAAGTATGAGAACAAGGAAAGCGAGGTGAGACAAACTTAAAAAACAAAAACAAAAAAAACAACTCCTACAGACACATGACACATCGTACACACATGCGCTTTCTTTGACACACGTGGGCGTGTTCATATAACGACACTCATTCACAAACCTTGACACCTGAAACTTGCAGCCAGAGTAGCAGAAGTTACTGACAATATGTGAAGCGTCTGGTCTGTGCAGTTGTGCAGAAGCTCCTTGTTTGCTTGGGTTTTTTGGCTTCTTTTATCTTCTTCAAGAATACACCCGCACAAGGTCCCCTTACACCATCTTGTTCTACCCGCATGTCCACTTATAAAAGTTGCCAAACACGTGCACAAACAAGCACCAACTCTTCAGGCTATAGAAATATCTGCACAGACTTGCAACTTGAAGTGACATTTGATTAGGAAACGCTAAAGTTAACCAGGCCACTCTTTGAGAAGTGGAGACTTTATTGCACTTTTTTGTCTTGTTATGTATTTAATGTTTTACAAGGGCCAAAATTTTTAAGTGTGCTTTTATAGTCTTTTTAAATTATGACCATTTCTCTGTTGGTACTTATCCGTGATCTGTGTGTCACAGTTACCTCAGGTGCTTTACGTCATTGATCTCGATTAATCACTGTGGAATATGAAGTCATTATAACAGGTTAACTCTGTTATTACATGGTGCAACCACACCCTGGCAGTGACGCTGCTAAGTGGAAAGTGCAAATGAGTTAAACCTCAGAGTTCCCTCGACCTATGAGCATACCAACTTAAAGTCTTGCATAACCTGCCTACCACTGATCCTGCCAGGCAGCTTATTCGCCTGAGCGTGTGTGTGTGTCTTTTGCATATTTAAAGATTTGTGTGTTTTGTCAACAAGGTCTACTTTACTGAAGGCTGATAAACTGCATAGTTAAAGGAAGAAAGAGAAAGAGACCTAAAAAGGAGTTTCACACTTTAATAGAGGAGTGCACTAACATAAATACTTGATTTTATTTTCACCTTTAGCTTCTACCTCTGCCTACACTTGACTTGTCATTGCCCAGAATTATTTTCTTTATTATAAAGGAGAGAGAGAGAAGCACAAGAAGTTGTGCATTTTATTTATTTATTTATTTTATTATTTTTTTTTTTTTACAAGATATATGAGCTTGAATCGTACTGTAGTCTCTTTTAGTGAAAGCATACGAGAAGCTGGAATAGAAGTGATTAGCTTTTTGAGTACTTTTTTAAGCACTAATGTTAAAAATGATACATGTAAGGAACTGTATTTGATATTTTTCTGTCAAATATCATAGTAAGCCAAATGTCCTTGGGGTTAGGTTACGGACCTTTAGTCAAAACACATTCGATAGAGTCACGAAGCTCAGTGAAGTTGCCAAGGACATTGATTCACATTTGTATTACATTTTAAACAAGTTAGTTACAGCCCTGGATTTTTCACCGTGAAATGTCAGAGTAAATTAAATTATCTAAGGAATTACAGCTTGTTTTAGAGCCAAGCTTCTGTGTGAACACAGTTGATGATGAACTCCACGTGCCCTGTGGCTTTATAGAAATTTCAGGCTTGCTTCCTCTTCTCCCTTATTATAAATTCTTCTGTCACCTCATTCATTCTTTTGTTTTCTCATTCCTTTGTCTCTCACTTTACCGTGCTCCATTTCCTCTTTCCTTTTCACCTTACTGCTCTCTCACCTTCCCACCAAGTCGCAAGTCTTGTGCCTACTTATCTGATTTAAAGCCAGGTATGCGATTTAGAGAACCAACAGACACCAAGTTGGGCTGACATGCAGACGGTGTGTCAGGACTTGGAGACAGGAGCTTACAGGAGCAGATGATTCACCAGACACCAAAGATTCTTCAAAGCCAGGGAAGGATCTGACAGAAGACGGAGAAGATAAAATTAAAAAAATAATAAATAAAATAAATGAACTGGGAGTGCTGTCACAGCTGTCAGACACCGAATTAAAAGACTCTCCCAAAGTTGCTGCACATTTTACTTTCTGTACACAAGGATAGCAAAGATTGGGATTTGTATCAAAGCCTCTTAAACCTCAAAGAGCAGAAAGTCAGAATCATCTGTTGGGGAGGTGTGTAATTTTTTTTTCTTTTTTTTTTTGTTTGGTTATCTCTGTTGCGATCCTCTGCAATACTCTTACCTCCCTCACCTTGTAGTTCTCAGGATAAACATAGCTTGTCCATAGCAACAGGGTGACTGGTGTTGACAGATGTAAAGTGATTAAGAGGGTGTGTGTGTCGAAACTGCATTTTACACTCCCCTTTTACTTTTTCCCTCACCCAGCGAAATGTATTAGTAGAAATTCTGCCACCCACTGCCACGGTTGTGGAACAATATTCACTCTCTGTTTTTCTCCTTCTCTGTGCTGCCCTTAAGTCCTTTTGTATTTTTAGGGTGAAACTAAACAGCAATTTAGCAAACGACACAGAATGATTTGTTTCATGGGCTGTAGTGGAGTTATTAATACTTCAATTCATCCCACTGAATTTAGTGTTTCAGCTTTTTTTTTTCTTTTTTTTTTTGCAGTGTTAATCAGTTTGTTGAAAACAGTGTTGTGGATCATGTGGGTTGTACTGCTCACCTAGAAAAGACTGTGCATTGCAGTTTTTCTGACATGCACAGGTAACACGTGTTAGAAAAACCACAATGTAAAAGCAACAGAAAATGGCGCTCACAAAATACTGCAGATTTGTATAATAATCTGTCTGTGCTGTAGAAATATATAGAAATATATGCTGGTGCTTTTCAGAAATCCCCAAAATGTACTAAAGAAGTCAGTTAATGCATTTGTGTTGGTGTGGTCTCCATTACAGTTTTCTAGCTGTGCTTCATTATATTTTATTATAT